CCATCCCTAATTCTACATCAGCACTTTTCCAGAAAATATCGGAAAGGTCTCTAGTTGTTTTTATTTCATTCATTCATTCACTCATTCATTTCCCCCCATTAATAAATATTAGATAACCATCGGAGCATGATGGAACAGAGGGCAGTTCTCAATATTTTGTGTATTAAAGTTTGCTCAGAGAAAGTGAAAAATTTGGTCACAGAAAGTTTGCTAATTCTTAAGCTAAAATCAACAAAACAGCCCTACCTTCCACAGTGTGGAATGTAATAAGAAAACACAGTGTTGAAGCAACAGTCCGAAACCAATTAAGGGAGAAGTAAGTAACTAGGCATATAAAAATATGCGTGACAATCCACAGATCACCGTGTTTCTAGAGAGTGGTACAGGTTAGAAGTAAAACAAAACCAGAAATTGATATGCTCTTATCCTACTTTTAATTCACTCAACTAAGTAAATACAAGACTGGTCTGAATTTCCAATTTTTCAATCCTTAATGTTTTCTTAGCTTGATATACTAACACATAAAATGTATTAACTTACTGTTCTGGGGGTGGGGGGAACCCTACTGCTTAAGCCAGAGATAGCTGGAAATGGAGTCTATAATCTTCTTTAGCAAAAAAGGGTACATGAACATATAGCAACAAAATGCATGACATTTCAGAGAAACTTATCTGTAACCTGCTTCTGGGTAGTTTGAAGACTTCTTGGCAGTATTCAATCTTGCTGGTGGACTAATGCAGAAAATTCAATACCAGAAGTTGACATGCTTTTTAGCTCTTCTTTCTTTTTTTTGTTTTGTTTTTAAAATTACAGGATAAAGAGCTATATTATGATTTCAACTATATTCAAAGGGTGCCAATGTTTTGGGAAAGGCATGAATTTGACTCTGTGGTTCTGGCCCGTGAAAAGTTTGCAGACCAAACCTCACAGGCAGAGGTGTGGTAGCAAATGTTTAACAACTGGTTCTACAGAAACAAAAATGTTTATTATTATAAATAAGGGATGTGTAATATGGCTTACAAATAAAGATTAAACAATATGTTCTTTTTATTTGGACAAATTAATTTTCACAGGATGTTTTGAGTTTTTCTGGACTCCTCTATAGTCAATCTATGGTTGCAACTGACAAAACAAGTCTAGTTCTGACATGAATGTCAGTTGATATTTCATTTGCATTAACTAGTTGGATGAAAGTGAAACAATAAGCACAAATGTTGGAATTTCACGTGCTTGTTAATGACATGAGCACATTCTTTGCTGAAACAGATAATAATTTTTTTTTAATTCTGGAAGAAAATTTTCCTCAGAAATTTTTTGTGTGTTATTCTCATGTAACAGCTAAAGACAGGCAACTTTTATGTTTAATTTGCATTAATGTTTTCTTCATCACATTCTTAAGCATAGTCAAGCGACATACATTAAGTTGAACCTGATTTATAGTCAATTTCCATGGTGTAAATACTCCTGTCATGGCTTATTTCAAGTGAGTAACATTAAGTCATAAACACAAAGTTGAAAAGAGGTGTATAGCCCAGCTGGTGTGGCTCAGTGTTGAGTGTCAACCTATGAACCAGGAGGTCATGGTTCGATCCAGGTCAGGACACATGCCCGGGTTTCAAGCTCGATCCCCATTAAAGGGTATGCAGGAGGCTGATCGATGATTATCTCTCATCATTAATGTTTCTATCTCTCTCTCCCTCTCCTTTCCTCTCTAAAATCAATTTAAAAAAAGAGGTGTATAGTTGCACACCATTATACAATATTTCTACCACACAGATACAATAGATGTAAAAAACATAGGAAACTAAAGTAATTAGTAAGTGATGAGTTTTGAGTATTTATTAACTTTGTTTTTAATATAATTTGTTTGCCTATATTTTCATAGAATTTAAGTTTTTAATACCACCTCACAAAATTTCTGAAATTTCCCAGCCAGTTCAGGCAGGCTCCAGTACAAGGTTTCAGGGTTCTGAGCCTCAAGGATAAATCCATTTCCCAGACAATTTTCCCTCAGCCACACACCACTAACTTCCAATAACAGTGACCCTACAGCCCAACTTCTCCTGCTATGAGTTAATCAATCTCAAGGAGTGGGATGTCTGGCATCAAGTTCCCAGTAGAGCATTAACACTTAGTGAGAGAAAAAAAAAATGACTTCAGCATAGTCATGTGACTTTGAGGCAGTCCTCAGCCGCCTCACCTGTAGAATGGGGACAGTACTTTTCCTAGGGCAACTATGAGGATTAGAGATAATGCAGCAAAGCTCCTGGAATAATTCCTCAAATACAGCAGGTGTGGAATAACTAAGTGCTTATCCTTAATATGATGGCAGAATTGCTGTAAAGATTCCTTTTGTGGATACATTATGGGTCAGTCAGATGAACTGCAACAGAGAAGCAATTTCCTTTTTCTTTTTTACATATATTTTTATTGATTTCAGAGAGGAAGGGGGAGGGAGAGAGAGATAGTAACATCAACGATGAGAGAGAATCATTGATTGGCTGCCTCCTGCACACCCTACACTGGGGATCGAGCCTACAACCCAAGCATATGCCAGGACCAGGAACTGAGCTGGGATCTCCTGGTTCATAGTTGACACTCAACAACTGAGCCATGCCAGCTGGGCCAGAGAAACAATTTTCAAACTTGACTGACTAAAGAGTGGGTTTGAGAACAATCAGATTTCTTGAGTGTATGGAAGATTGTTTCCTGCCTCCCAAGGATCACTGTTTTCATTTTTTCTCAGGATAAATGGATGAATGAATGAATAAGGTAAATTTGTAACTGGAGTGTTGTAGCACAGACCCAAAGGTAACTTCCAACAGTCAATATTTTACATCAGAACCATGGGCTAGAATTTAGGAAAACTCATTTGCCACCTGTGAAATTGACGCAGACAACAGCCATTGGGGGGAGCATCTTGTTGAGATGACAAATTCTTTTAGTGTTTTTGATATTTTCAATTATATGTTGCCCTACAATCTTTATCATAACTTTTGGGATTCTAGGCCTCTGTAAGATGATTTCTCCACTACCACCCTTTTTTTTGTTAAAGGGCACATTAGGCCTGGCGGGTGTGGCTCAGTGGTTCGATTCCCAGTCATGGCACATGGCCCGGTTGCAGGCTAGATCACCAGTAGGGGGCGAGTAGGAGGCAGCCGATTGATGTTTCTCATCGATGTTTCTATCTCTCCCTCTCCTTTCCTCTCTCTCTAAAATCAATAAAAACGTATTTAAAGAAAAAAATAAAAGGACACATTAATAAAAAAAAAACCAATGCAAAACAACACAAACACAAAAAGGCTTACATTGTTTTTTTAATATGTGAAATAGGGGTAATCATGCTTCTATCACAGGCTTCCTGTCTCAAATGAACTAAAGAATCCAGCCCATGGAATGTGTCCAGCACATCGCCCGGGCCACACCGAATGGTAGCTGCTGCATGCAGCACACTGCATTCTCCCCTCCTTTCAAATCAACTCAAGGTTAGCGAGGGCAGGGGAGCACAGACAACACACCGAGAAGAGGCCAGCTTTCTCCTGTCTACTAAACGATTGATCGATAGGGTAAGCAGGCTGAATTGATCTGTTTTTCCTCCCGGGAGGAGATAGTATTTTCTTCTAAAAATAAAAGGAACAGCAGCCTGCTTGTGTTAGTTATTAACCAGATCAAATATCAAGGAAGTCGGAGATTCTAAGACCTCGCTTGTCCTTTTATGTTATATACATTTATAAACCTTATAATTTATTCTGGATTTCAGGAACACCAAGGATTAATTGTCAAGCGATGGGCGATTTCAGCAAATACTAAACCAGTGGCTCTCAACCTTCCTAATGCCGCGACCCTTTAATACAGTTCCTCATGTTGTGGTGACCCCCAATTTCATTGTTACAAATTGAACATAATTAAAGCATAGTGATTAATCACAAAACAATATGTAATTATATATGTGTTTTCCGATGGTCTTAGGCGACCCCTGTGAAAGGGTCGTTCGACTCCCAAAGGGGTCGCGACCCACAGGTTGAGAACCGCTGTAACGATTCAAGCACAGAAGGTATGACAGAGCCACCAGGAGTCAGCCTAGCCTTAAGTTATAAGATAATTATAGCACTTGATAAACACACAATATACAGATGATGCCTTGTAGAAATGTGTATCTGAAACCTATGTAATTTTTATCAACCAATGTCACCCCAATAAATTCAATAAAAAATAATCCATAATCATATGACTGGGGAGAAAATACAAGGGAAGAAATACATATGAGTCTTAAAGCTAGAAATATTAAAAGAATTAATGGCTGTATCCTAAAGTACCTAGATTATCATAAATATATTTATGTAGCACATTATGGAAGACAATTTGATGTTTCTGGGGAAACCACAGAATTTAGCCTAGAAACATATGAAAAGATGTTAAATTTAGCATCATTCTAATTCTGAGATTTGAGCTCTAGTTGCCATTCCTCATGTGTCATAAAAACTCAAGCTAGATTCCTGGGCAGGAAATGTTCTAAATTGAAAAATATATGATCAACCAAATATGACCAGTTGTCAGAATTAAAATCTCAAATGATGAACAGTGAACCAGATTACCTAAATTGATGTGTTAAGAGTAATAATAAATGGAGTGTGTGTGTGTGTGTGTGTGTGTGTGTGTGTGTATGCATGCCTATGTGCAAACTTAAGCTGAAACAAAGAAGTTTTTCTCTCCTGGGGGAATTTACATAATAATGTACACCAGGGCTTGAGTTCCTCAAATTATAGTGTTTTTAAATTTGAATACACATTGCTGTGCAGTTCTATGTGAACCTGGAAAGAATGCAAAGTAAATTTCCAGTATCATCAGTCTTTCTCATTCAGTCGAAATCCCTCCCTTTCCCGGCTATAGTGAGTGAATTTCCTGCCTAGGAAAACGCTGAGGTGAATCGATAGGCCTTCTTCCTCTCTCTGGGCAATTAAGTTTTTTGTTTGTATTTTTTTCCTGAAGCGTTTTCTTACCTCACCAGGCTTGTGACATCATCAGACCTACATTGGAGCTGTTCTGCTGGTCCTCCTCCTTTAGTTCTTCCCCACAGAGGTGCTCCAAAAGCTTATATTCCAAGACTAAAATCCTAGCAGGTTCCCCGAACTTCACACAGTTGTGCAATGGTTAAAAACCAAACAGAAAGCCCAGCCCTGGGCCCTCCTGGCTGGGGTGTGGCTGCAGGTTGGCGGTGTGGCTGAGGGCTATTGCTTAACCAAACCAAACACTCAGCACTAACCGCTGCCCAGGTACAGTGATTACATACTAAACAGAAGGAGCGGTACACCTTTCCTCGCTGAAGACGTGAATGAAGACAGAAAATCCCTTTGGTCAAAGCTCCGCAGGGTTCCGCACGGCAGTGCTTTTTCAACCCTGAGCATCCAAGCACTGGCCGGAGTAAGAGCCCAAAGCTTACTTCCTAAAGTTGATGCTTGACATAATTAAAATCGGTGGAAATGGAAAGACTCAATTTTAAAAATTCTGAAATGAAACCAAATATCATCACTGATATTGGTATATTATGGTTCATACTTTACACTTGACAAAGTGTAATATAAGTTGGGAGCAAGGCTGTGAATTGACACACACACACAGAAAAAACTCCCAACTATACAAAATGTATACCATTTCCATCACTCATGGCAAATTGCACTGAATCATTTCAAGTGAGCTAGGCAGTTCTGTAATGTCACTAGTCCGTTGAGGCACTTTAGAAGTTCAAAGCAAATACAGAGCCCTCAGATCCAAATATTTTGTAAGATATTGCTACAAATTTTAATAATCAAAAGGTATTTATTGTGCATCTATATGTATCTATATGTATCTAGCACTGTGCTAGTCAGTATGGAAAAATTAAAAAGTATATGACTCATTCTCTCCAAGAATTTTAATAATCTAATTAAGAAGTCAAATCTGGCCTGGTCAGGTGGCTCAGTTGGTTAGAGCCTTGTCCTGTACATCAAAAGGTTGCAGGTTTAATCCCTGATTGGGGCGGGTATGGGAGACAACTAATCCATGTTTCTCTCTCATATCAATGTTTCTCTCTCTCTCCCTTCCTCTCTCTTTCAAAATCAATTTAAAAAATATACTCGAGTGAAGCTTAAAAAAACAAATAAATGAAAGAGTAACAGAAACCTATATATGGAATATTGTCAGGTCTGACTTAAGTATCTTTTCTGTAGGGTGGTGGTAGGAAAACCCAGAAGAACAGAGGACTGGAATTCCAAGTTTACAGAACATATTGATGTCCTGCTTTGTGCCTACTTGCTAATAAATGTGGTTTAAAAATATATATGCAAAGTGAAATAAGTCAAACAGAGAAAGCTAAGAACTATATGATTTAACTCATGTGTGGAATATAACTGAAACTTATATGTACACAAACAGCAGTGTGCTGGTTGCCAGAAGGAGGGGGTGGGGGAAGAAAGGGGTCCTAATATGAGGGGACAGGAGAAGATTTGACTTTGGGTGGTGGGCACATGGTCCTATATACAGATTTTTTAAATTAGTAATCCACACATGTAACCTATATATTCATGTTGACTAATGTCACCCTGATAAAATTTAAAATAATTAAAAGAAAAAAATATGCACCCCTATGTTCATAGCAGCACAATTCACCATAGCTAAGATTTGGAAACAGCCTAAGTGCCCATCAGCAGATGAACGGATTAGAGAACTGTGGTACATCTACACAATGGAATACTATGCTGCTGTAAAAAAGAAGGAATTCTTACCATTTGTAACAGCATGGATGGAACTGGAGAGCATTATGGAACTGAAATAAGCCAGTCAATGAAAGAAAAATACCACATGATCTCACTCATTTATGGATAATAAAGACCATTATAAATTGATGAACAAAAAATAGATACAGAAGCAGAGCAGCATCGAACAGACTGTCAAACTACAGCGGGAAGGCCGGGGAGAGTTGGGGTAAGAGATCAAGTGAAGGACTTGTATGCATGCATGTAAGCATAACCAATGGACACAAGACACTTGGGGTGTAGGGGAGGACGGGGGAAAGTCAAGGTAGGGGGGAAGGAGACATATGTAATAATACTTTAAGCAATAAAACAAATTAAAAAAAAACCACTGAAACATTTTATCCTATATAATAAAAGCCTAATATGCTAAAAAAGAAAAAATATATTATGTGGAATATTTGGTCTTAGATTTGCTTTCATTGTATCCTGGCAGGGCTGATGCTGAGAGGGGCTAATTCTCACCCACCTCAAGCTTTCCTGTGGCTAGCTTTATCCCATTTAGTTGTATTTTTTAGATGCTGGGAAGACCTATTTTAAAGTTAAGGATGATGGGCCCTTCCTCACTGATTATGTGGCTGAGCATAAATCCTCTAGGTTCAATTTTAGTCCTATGAAATGAGGATAACAACTCCTGGGCTTGCTGTAAAAATTAAAAAAAAAATGCATACACAGCCCAGTTAGCTGCTCATTCACCACTAGTTTCCCTCCCCTGATTCCTGTCCTGTTGTTACACTTTTCCTATCCCAGAGGAAGCGTACAAATGTTAGCAGAATTGAAAAGTATAACTTTTTCCCCTCTATTTTGCATTTTAATTTATTGGGACTGAACAGATGTTGGAATGTAAAGTTGGTGCCTCTATTACCCCATTTAAATCTGGATGATGAGAATCATCAGAGGCTGGAATCCTTTCCCTTCCCTTCCCTTTTATGGTACTGAAAGTCCTTCCTCACCCTCTTCTGGAATCCCTGTGCCCACTCACACTCCAAGGACTCTCCCTGGGCAATTATTGCTTTGGTCTCCCTCAGTATCACCTCATTTGGCCTGCTCCTGCCCTGGCTGGGTGGCTCAGTTGGTTAGAAGGTCTGGTAAGTACCAGTAAAGGTCATGGATCTGATCCCTGGTCAGGGCATATATAAGAGGGCATATATAAGAATCAACCAATGAATGCATAAATAAGTGGAACAACAAATCAATGTTTCTCTATTTTTCTTCTATCAATAAAAAAAAGTTTTGACCTGCTCCTGAATCTTATTAAAACTAATATAGTTATATATCTATATCTATATCTATATATTATATGTATATATACACACATACATATGCATATATGCATACATATATCCATACACATGTACATATACATACATCTATATTTTTTCAATAAGAGAAGTGGGAGAAATGACAGTAACAGCATTTTGGAAGCCAGAAGGTGGGTGGATGGTGGCCCCTCACTCAGTGGACCCAAGAAAGCTAAACAAGAAGCTGGAGGTGGAACAGATGAGCACTGTCTTTGACATGCCGGGTCCTCAGAAGGCTCCAGGCAGAAGATGCCTCAGGCAGAGGATGGGAGAAGGGGTTGAACTGTGTTTAAGAAGCAGGTGACCCCCGCCACCTCAGCAGCAGCCTGAAAGTGCATCCTGTGGTGAGGGCAAACCCGGACGTCTCTGAATTAGGGGACACACCACGCAATGTTGGGGGTGAAATGCTATGGGGAGATGGGAGGTTAAGTAACTATGGACACAGCGTACCGAGATTCCTCTTTTCTACTTCTCACCCTCATCTCCCAAATACTGGCAGCTGGGCCCTTACCCTCCAGGCAAGAGTTGGGGGGAGTTTTCCCAGGGCACCTGACCACCCCCTGAGGAAGGCCTGCAAGATCCTGACATTAAAGTTCCCTAACAATTGGCTCAGCCAGATCATTGCAGCAGATGTCACCAGTGTCCCCTCCCACACGTGTGTGTTCAGAACTTCACTTTTTAGTCCCTACTCTTACATGTGAGCAGAGCACCACTGCTACCAAAGAGCCAAGAAAAGCCAAAAACAATCTGGAGAGATCCAGAATTATGAAGGAAAAAGAAAATTTCCGAAAGTATTATTAAAAACTTATAAAGATAAGAGAAATACAAGGTATCTTGAATCAAGAAAACGATGCTGCTAGAAAAAAAGGTGTTCAGAGAACAAAAAAGACCTCTTAGAAATTAAAAACATGACAGCATAAATACAAACCTCAGCTGAAAGAATCAACACTAAAATTGAAGACATCGGAACGAAAAGAAAAAGAACCCCCCCCCCAAAAAAAAGCAGATAAATAATCCAGGAATTCCAAGGAAATCTAGAAACAAAACACCTGCAGGAGAAGAAATCATTAACAATGTAATTCAAGAAAATTCCCCAAAACTGGAGGGTAGATTTTCTAGATTTGAAGGGCTGGCCCACTGAGTGCCCAGCACAGTGGGTTTTATAAGTCCCACACTGAGGCACCTCACTGTGAAATTTCACAACACTAGGATAACACATCTTCAGTCAACTTCCAGAGAAGAAAATAAAGTTAGACATAAAGAACAGGAAACTGGAATAGTGGGACACTTTTCAACAACCATACTGTAGACAAGGAGACACTGAAGCAATGTCTCCACAATTCCGAAGAAAGAACAAAGAAAAAAAATTTTGAGTGAAAATGAATTCCAACAAGGAACTCTCTGTATAATCACTCTAACAATCAGGTGGGGAGATGGGATACAGACAGTTTTAGAGAGACAAAAACATATATGTTTTTTTTACTTCCACGAACTTTTTCTTAAAAAGCCCCTGGAGGATGTGGTCCATGAACATGAGGGAATAAAACAAGACAAAGGGAGACATGAGGAAATGGGAGGAAGTAAGGAGCTCTTCCAGGAGGTGAGGGCAGGAGACGCCAATGTGCCCGGACAGGGAGGGCAACCAGGCCAGGGGAGCAGGCCAGGGGCTTATGAGAGAGATTTCTGCAAAAGCATGAAGTTGATACAACTGACAGAAAACCTGATAGAAAACTGGTAGAATCATGGAACATCTTGAGAGAATATTTAGACAACTGGCAAATATTTAAATACTGAAAGAACGGTAAGTACATAAAACACACACACAAGAAAAACAAACAGATAAAAATAGGCAAGTAAAAAGAAAACTATTAACTCCAGGAATAATGATGCTGGTAAGAAACAAACAGTTTAATATATGCCCCATTTCTGAATAGCATATATAGTCATAATAATGTAAACCTTGAATATATTTCTAATCAAAACTGAGATACATTGTGTGCATGGGAAGTGACTGTGGGAGGTGTGAATGAAGAAAACAAAGA